GGCATCCTGTCAGCACAGCTAGAGGACTGATACCTGTCATGGCACAATGTCGACGTGTGGCAAGATGGATCCAGTTTAGCCCCCTGCATCCCTCAGGACCCACGCTCACGCAGGTAAGCATGTACAGCCAGTTAAAAACCACACAGGCACAGAGCCTCACTATATGGTCTGTATGGGTAGTTGACAACACGCACGTAAGGCCTTTATGCCTGCATATTTTCTTGCAGTGTCTGAAACTCGACTGATAAACACCTCTTCAAACTGATACTCAGCTTCATTCTCTGCTATCCAAACATTTCATCAAAGGCCACTTACCTACAAAGCAGACATCTCAACCCAAGCCAGACATGCCACATACCAAAGCCTTTTGAAAACAAGGAACCAAACCTACATTTATCCATTAATAGTGCAGGGGTGACAGCCATTATTTTATATCTGCAATATTTTGCAAATTCTAAAAGACCTGAATCTCATAAGGTGATTACACCATTAATTAGTGAAACCCTGTCACCCCTGGGGTGCAACACAGCAGCTGTTTCAGCTGAGCAGCAAAGAAAAGCCAAGAGAGCAAGGCAGCATAGCGGTAGTGCTCTCAGGAGAAGCCTTCCTGCTCCGAGCATCCCAGCGCTGCCACCCCATGCTAGGGAACGGCTCTGGTTGCAGTGAGGGAGAACCGCAGCTCTACCTGCCACCCCAACCACCCCCTCTCCCAGAGGGTAGTAACCCCTCTTTCACCTGGGTGCATGAATGTGGGCTGTAATGGAGGGGGCATCTGTGGCAGCCTAAGCCCTGCATTTCTGAGGATGTGGGTTTCCCCGGGTTTCCCCCATGTTCATACACGGATTATCAACCCAGAAGGGATCTCCCTGGTCGTTCATCCCTCTGACATCCTGCAAAATGGAGATCACAGAGACTACTTCAATGATCTCCCCTTCAAACTGCAACATAAAAAAGAAAAGGAAAAAATAAAATCCCATGAAGATACCCCGTGACACAGCCGCTATTGCAGCTTTTTGATCAGCTGCTTTGTGAACAGGGCTTCATTTCTAGCCTAAGCATGTCTGGCTAAAACTACCAATTGCAAAGCCCTGCTCCTGCACTGCAAGCTGGGCAGAGCAGCACTCCATCGGTAGTTTTGGTTCCTCACACAGGCAGCTCTAGACCATGGCTGTGTCACCAAGTATGTCCATGGAGGGTCACTGATCAGACCCAGGCCAACTCAGCTAGCGATAAGTAACAAGACGAAGGACTACGGTGACTGAAGGGCAGGCTGGAACCACTGCCCCAAGCAAGGGGGAATGCTTGGATGGCCACCAGACAGGTCCTACACGCACAAGCTAAGGACTCTACATGAGAAATGCTTTGCACCACAGCGAGTTTTGCACCACAGGGTGAAGATGGGTGGGAGGAAGGAGGCTGATCCTCTTCACAGCACTCCCCCTTTTAGATGACAGCTCTGACCACAGTACTGACAGAACTTCTGAGTTGGCTGGAGCAGCAGTGCAAGGAGCGTCTGACAAAATCCGGATGGAGCAGGAGAGGCCTTGCACGACCCACCAGCACTGGCGGGGTGCGGGGGAAGCGATGTGAGCGTGACAGTGCCAGAGCTGCGCCGCCATCGGGGCCAGGGGAGATGACCATGTGGCAGTGTGGGCCTTGTGGGTCAGAGGACCCTACCCCTGGTTCCCAGTCTGCTGGGGGATCATTCCCCTTTAGTGAAAGTCTCAGGAGCAGGAGCTTTAAGGTCTCACAAAGGCGGTGATGTCATTTTGGTGCAGAGCCAGCAGCAGGGCCCAGGGTACGCCTGTCCCCTCACCCCACCAGGCTCTGGCTGGTGCTCATCCCTTTCACCAGAGGCCAGGGGCAGGCACCGGGGATGTGGTGGTACTGCCCTCCCAGAGGGGGACTCATGGCAGCGAGGGGGGGTTCCTGCAAGGCCCACCTTAGCCTGGCATGTCCTGTCTCTCTCAGTCCCCTCTACGGTCAGGAGCAAGGGAGAAAACTCTCCAGAGTACCAATTATAGCAGTAGATCTAGCCCGGAGGAGGCTATGTCCTCTGAGAGGGATGGGAGCTAAATTTTGCTAAACTAAAGACATTTTGATGACCATTATTGATACCTTCTGTCCCACCCTGCCACCTCAATACCATCACAACCCTTCCAGAGCACACTGACTTAGCCTGACAGAAATATCCGTGGTGGGACAGAAACATTGCTGATGTTGGGGTGCCCAGCGAGGGCACAGCCCGAGCTGTACCAGCAGCACAACACCAAGTTTGCCCACCATTCCTCTCACAAGAAACTGCTCTGAGGGATCCAGTTCGTCTTCAGAGCATGTTACATGGCAGTAACAGCACATCACTCACATAAAGTCTGCAAGCAGCCATGAGACTGTCTTAGCTTATGCTGGGCTATGCAGACTCGGGTCAAGAAAGATCACGGAGTTTGTTTAAGGACAATTCTGTCTTCCACCTCCAGGAGGAAAAAATAGGCCCATCATTTATAGGAAAAGGAAAGGCCTTATATTGCTCTGAGAATGAGCACGATCCCACACAACTTCCCTCCCTTGAAAGGATTTGGACATCACATTCTTGAGAGTAGTGTTAAACAAAAAAAAAAAAAAGAGGAAAAAGAAAAAGCACGTTGTTAATAAAATACGGCAACGACCTGAAAATTTGGTCCTAAAAGCCCATGATAAAAAATCTCCAGCTGAGAGTCGACCTCTACATTATATTCCCCAGCGCTCTGCCTCATCTTTCCTTAAATGCATGGAGCACAGGGCTTCTGTCACTTCTTTGGCATGCCTGCTTAGCGTCTGAGAGGTTTTACTCCGAGGAAGCTTTTCCTTCACGTTCAGCTTAAATGTGCCATTTCTTGTAGTCATCCCCTTGTCTTTTATACTCTAGCAAGCAAAACAAGTGTAAATTAAATGGAAGACACAGGAAATCTTTATAAAGCCCAGTGTTTCCCCTAGCATGAAAGTTCGTTCTCTTCAGAGTGGAATGGGTCTTTACTCTGTGCTGTATTTTCCCCCATCAAAAAATGAAGAAGAATATAAATTTTCCTCATGACTTGAATTTAGCTTCATCAGCAGCCCCCTGCTGATGTAATTCAACTCAATAAGAATCTTCTTTTTCTTTTTGTTTTCCCGGTGAGCTGCTGCCCCTTTTCCCCTCCTCCCATCAATTCAGACATGGAAAACAAGGGAGGAATTAGACAGACAGAACTTATTATCTAACAAGCTGCAACTTCAGACCGGGCAGGAATAACATTTAAAATATAAAAAGCAAATTTTATCAAGCTTTTTCCTCCCCAGAGACTGCCACAAAAATATTCCTTGTTTGTCGCTGAGAAGAAACCATTTTTCTCTTTCATTTCTGCTTTCTGTCACATATTTCATTTTGGCTGCCCCTTCTGTCTTTCAGCTAGGGACCTAGGCTGCTAATGCAGAATCACAGATAACTCAACAACAAAATGCCTGTATTATCTTTTTTTTTTTTCTTCTAGTCTGCCAGGTAATTGCAACCATAAAAGCTTTTGCATATTTACCACAGAAACATGTCTCTCCTGGAGGATGGGACTGTCATCAGGTAGAATATTTCATTTAATAAGCCTCTTCTGAGGTATAAACTAGGGTTGGGGATTTTTTTCTGGCCTCCTTCAAAGCAAAGGACAAGCAGATAAAAATCAGCTGCTGCAGTGCTACACTCTCAAAGTTCCTGTTCCTGTGAAAATTAACTCTTCCCAAGCTCAGAGCTCAGGTGGTCTTTGCCACCGTTATGTTTATGAAGTAGGAAAAGGGTCCTTCATAAAACTGTTACCAGTCCTCCCCATGTATAAGACAGATTTCTTTCCTATTTACAAACAGAGCATCTACCCTGCTTTTCTGTAACCCATCTGATGAGCTGTGGATGCTGCCAGGACTGATTTTCATTAAATCAGTCATGAAGAAGGATCGCATTTTCCCTCTCCGCCCCTGTTTCACAGAATTACAACAACAAAAACATGGCCTGAACATTTCTAAATTCGGCTGTCATCTAAAGACAAATTCCCTTTTTTCTTCCCCCGTATTTTTCCCCACCCCTGAGGTAGCAGTAGAATTGCTTTTCTCAGTCCTTGGGATGTTGAATCAAGCTGACTGGTACCAAAGAGAGGGGCTGAGGAGAACATCTACAGAGAGACTTTGTGTCTTGGAGTTAAGGTAGAGGGAGAGCACGACCTTCCAGGCGTTATGAAAAGAGGCTGCTTTGCTGAAACTATTCAACAGACTGAAGAGGGATATAGCTGGTTCACACATTTCACTTCGGGCATGCTCACGCAGAGGTCAGAACTCCATCCTAGCACATAACATACCCGTAGTTAAAAGCACTGTGAGTGAGAATCAAACAGGTCCTCAGTCCAACGCCAAATTACTGACAATACTCATTTATCTCTACCTGGAACAAAGCCAACAAGGAGCCAGCCAGAACCTCGCAAGCTCCACAGCCTGTGTTAAAACTACTCCTTGACAAAGCATCTTCTGCATCCATACAGTTTTCCTGTGGGCCAACCTTATTCTTGGAAAGTCCCTGGTTTCACATACGCGTAAAGACTGGAAGACACATCTGAAATATGGATTAATCATTTAGGTTAAGGTCTTTCTGAAACCAAGAACCTACTTGCATTGACTTGGAAAGGAAATGTGGACTCTCCAGATACATCTCCTCTTCTGGGATCAGTCCCAGAGAGAACAAAATACTGACAGAGGTGAAAGGCTTTCTAAATTGTAACTGGCAAAATTTTTTTTTTATAACATTTTATGGTTATTTACAAATTTACAATGGTTTTCAATGCAAGTAAACTCCAAGAGGTTAGGATACTATTTTTTCCGATCACCAACAAGCCATTCTAAGAGCCATCCCAGTTTCAGATTAAGGGATGGCTCTCATGCATTTACAGGAATGTAGGAAAATTCCCATAGGTAAAATACTTCTCCTAGTAATGTTACATGAGCCCAGTCTCTTACCTGTAATATCTGGATTGAAGGTAGGTAGAACACACAGCTTTAGACACATGGCTAGCTGAACCAAAGTCTATGACCTTGACCCTATATGGCTGTCGGGATGGGTCTACCAACATGATGTTCTCTGGTTTGAGATCAGCATGAATCAGTCCCAGGCTTTTCAGCTTCATTAGGGCAGTTGCTACCTGCTGGAGAATTGGTCGAATGTACTTAAGGGGCAAGGGACTGAATTTGTTTTGTTTTAGGAAATCATAGAGGTTCTGCTCCAACATTTCAAAGACCAAACATGTATGATTCTTGTGCTGGAAGCACTCATACGCACGGACGAAGTTGTAGTCATCCGCACTTTCTGTGCTCAGTCGAGCCAGGATGCTCACTTCAATCTGACCTTGCCGGGCATAGGAAGGATGGTTCTTTAGGATCTTGATGGCCACAATCTCATTAGTGCCACGTTTCCAGCATTTGACTACTTGTCCGAAGGTTCCACGGCCAAGAAACTCTAACACTTCATACGTGTTGGTCATGGAACAGAGCACCTCATGTTGCACCAGCTGGTAATCCCCTTCGCTGTTGGAGCCACTGTTTTTGGAGGTGGCCGTGGAGGTGGTGGCGGTGGCTACAGTGGCCCCACTGGCATTGTTCTGAATCATTGGTGGATGCTCTTCAATGATCTGCACGCTGCTTGTGTTCTCAATCTCCTCACTCTTGCGCTTAAGTCCACATTTTTGGTAGGTGTCCAGAAGGCTCACAGTGCTGCGACGCATCAGGTTGTGTGGCCCGCCCAGTGTTTGCCCAGACACTGCAACCACACCAGAAGTGCTGTTGGCGGATGTCACCACGATGTGCCCCGTGCTTGCTGGGAAGATGATGGTCTGTTCGTAAGGGATGCTCGGATTGGGGATCTGGAGGGAGGCGTTGACGGCTGCTGCGGCGGCTGCTTGGGAGGACTGCACGTTCTTGCTCTGGCTGTAGACTTTGCTGTGTGTGCCGTACCCAGTCATATCCCAGTTCGAACTCGGCTCCACTTTCAGTTTCTTCACGCTACAGAAGGCACTTGACTGAAGGGTGTGAGGAGAGAAAACTTGCACATGCGAGGCCATACCTGCAATACAACATCAGAGTGAAACCACAGTGTCAAGATGCCTTCCCTAGCTTTTTCATTTGTTCAGTGGCAGGAAAGGAAAACGGGATACAGACTTCAGATAGAACACATGCACACACACGCAAAAATCAAGTTCTTCCAGAAATATGTATTCAACAGAAATAATACTATGCTCTAAAATAAATCATTACCCCTGAACTGAACTATACTAACAACAACTAAGGTTCCTGCTCTCTTGCTCTCCCCCTTCTCATTTTTAATAACAGGAATGTAAATGTTATTTTTACCTCCTCTGCCTAAAGAGACTCCTATTCCCATTGTCTCCAGGAATATATCTAGCTCTCAGGAAGAACTCATGTCAAATACTGCGAAGTATTCTGCCTATGGAAGCCAAATCTCAAATCCTCAGGCTCATCCTATATTAAACAGTTTGGTGGATCTGACTTAAGCCGTCCGTTTATTCCCACAAAAACCACTGTGTAGTTTCTGGCCTGCAGAGAGCCAGGATGGGACCAGGACATGATACACCGTGACAAAATGGAGGTGCACAGACAAAATTGAGGAGCCAGGACAGAAGCAGCAGATGATGTTTCAGGTTGCTTGCCAAGTCAGCGTGTGGGAATAGTGCACAGTGCTGGTCTGTGCTCAGGGACACTGGAGATGGGAGTTATACAACATGACCTTCAGTGTGCTCTCAGTTCTCCCAGATTTATAAAAGTGTGTTCATGTCTTCTCATTCACAGTGACAATACCATCATTGGACGGCAGACCCCTTGGAAATGAACAGCATTGTTAATGAAGCAACTTACATGTTAGCATGTGGCAGAATTAGGTCCCAACATAACTTTATTTTCTAAGAAAAGACAAAAACCTATTTTACTGCAAGCTTCTCTGATTCCAGAAGAGTTAATGATCTTCTAAATCTTTATTTAAAAAAAACCACCAAAAAAAAAAAAGAAACCCACAACCTCATATCCAAAGTTAAAATAAAGTATCACTGAGACAGACTTACTGAAGGATTCCGAGTAATATTCCACTGAAACAGAAAATGCTCCTATTCAGAAAAAAAGATGTGGCCCACAGAGAAGAGGACATTTAAGTCTTGACTTGCTGCCAGCTTTCCCTGCCCATGGTAGGGATGGTACTGCTGGGGTAAAGGTATTGTGAACGGCACAAATCTATGGGGATTCCTGGGGAAGGAGTCAGTGCCCGGTGGGAGTTAAACCAGAAAGGCACAGCCTCCTTCACCCTTCTATCTGTCGTCAGTGTTTCTTTTTAATAAACCAGAATGACTAGGGAAGAAAAAGACAATATGCTGAGCTGGCATCGTTGCTGAATTATTAAGCACAAACATAACCTTGACTTGTTTTCAACTTTAAAAAGTTAGAAGCTGAATGAATGCTTCAGTGGCAAAACCACAACAAACTCTGCAGTGCACACGGATGACTTCTTCATGTGGAGACCCGAGAGTACCTAACACTCAGCTCCCCTTCCTAAAAGAAACCCATGCTCTTTTCCGAAGATTTTCTGGAGCTCACTATGTGCACATACACACTCACATACAAGCATGCATAAACATATACACCCATACAGAGAAATATGAATGTTACTCCACACTTCCAAAGCTCAGTAGCATGGTCAAGCAAACGCACCTAAATACACCCAACACCCACTTTCCAGTTAATTCCCAGCAGCCCAAAGCCCAGGAACTGCTCAGGAGAGGTGCACTGTGGCAAGCCAAAACCACCGTACGCAGCTATGCAAAAGTAACCAGCAAAGCAATCACTCCTGTTTGCTTCAACACCCCCACCTGCATCCCTGCCACAGCGACGAATTTATGAAGACAGGCCAGATGCAGAAGAAAACTCCTATCAGGACAGACGGGGAAATCCTCACCCCTCCTGGAACATGCAACACAAAACCTCACTAACCCCACTCTAGCAACGAAGCCCTGCAAACCACAGTGTGCCCTCCTTTGCAAACGTGACCCCCGGCTTTAACGTGATTTCTGATGCTGTTTGCTGCCATTCGTACTAACCTCCCCCCCCTCCAATCTCCTTGGCAGCAATTTCCAAGGTCTCTGCAACTGGGTCCTCAGAGCCCCCACCAGCTCCCTGCCCCTCTAAGTGCTTTCTCTCCTCTCTCCTTTCCACAGGGCAATGATGTTGCCACAAATGCCGTAGCATGTGGCAGGCGGCGAGCTCGGAGAACCGCAGCATTATTACTCAACTTGTCATCCTGGACACAAGTATCGTATCTGAGTGAGCCGAAACTGTGTTTGTTTTTCCACTGATTAGGAAGAGTCACGGTGTTCCTTCTAGTACAGTACCGACCTGCCTGGAGAGTGGGGTTGGTTTGATGTATGTTTTCCCCCTGGATGCGAATAATAAAGCAGATGTAATTGGTAACATATTGTGGACCTAGCAGAGGTGTAATTTATAGTTTTATGGCTTTCATTCCATCATGTGCTTGAGCAATATCCCTTCATACAAAATAAAAAGGGAAAAAAATGATTGACGCAGAACCGGGAGAGAGGTTCATCTCACATGCTCCTCTAAAGATAACACCAGAAGACCCAGGCACCCCAAATTAAAATCATGGATGTGAAGCGCAGCAGCTGCAACTTTCTCAGTGCTGCTGCAAAAATCAGGATAATCGCCACCATTAAGAGACAGACTTTCAACTGGTACAAACTGGCAGGGCTCCAGTTGCTATCAGCTGACGCTAAAAACAAGGTCAGCAGTCACTCAACATCGTCAACGTCAGATGGCCGCCTGTGCCCCTTGGTGAAACGAGTTGTTGTTAGGGACTGGTTTCCACATCAACAACCAGTGCCCTCCTGCCCCTGCAACACTGGTGGCAGCCTCAGGAGGGGGACAGGAGCAGGGGACAAACTGACCCATCCTGGTACCCCAAAAATGGAGGGAGTGGAGAAAGCAGGGCTGTCTTGTGGCTAAAGGGAGGACTTTGGACTCCTTTGCTGTCACTTCTACCTTCCTCAGAGGTTATATATCATCGCAGGAGAAACATTTTTTTTCCCCCTAAAAAAAGAAGCATGAAATCTTCTTCCTTCCATCCAAAATGATTTTCTCACATTTGAGGTTTTAGGGGCACATGTTGTAAGGAGAATAATTCGGCCAGTTCTTCAGCATAGTCCGATACCAAGAAATTACAGGTTGATTGACAGCTTCGTGATGGGAAAAGAAGGCTTCTGCAGCAAAGCCATTTTTATTGCAGATTTGCCTGTGCAGTTAATGTGAGAAAAACACAACCCTGAATTTCCTGAGGACACTATCAAATTGTGCTGGTGACATGTTCTTTTTTTCGAAAAGGATCTTTGCTCCATGACAATAGCAGAAATAGTAATAAATGTGAATAAAAGTTGGATGATCCGTTACAGAGATCAAATTCCTCATTACAGCCTGTAATATGATTTACAACTTCAGCCTTCTGATTACACAGGCGACAATAGCTTGCCACGATGTCCATGAGGAAACATGGAGATGATTCATGCCAGCCAAGTCCTGTGACAGTGATGCCCCCTGAGCATCC